TGATCAAATTGGAGAATGATGTCTGAATCAAAGTTGTACCCAGATGAGTTAGCTTTCCAACGCATTTTGAATCGCCTCAATCGGATATCGGAATACAAAGTTATGATAAAAATACTGAAAGAAGGTGCAGTTGTCTGTTCAAAACAAAAAATTCCATTACATAGTCCGTAAAACAATAAATTCCGTTAGTTTTTCCGTTAAACCAACAAATTCCGTTAAATAGACACTTTTTATATATAGAAAGATATATCTTAATCTTCGTCCACACTCCACCCAACCCCACAAATCAAACCAAACCCACCTACACACTGCTACTGCCAATTGCCACCGCCACCACCCACGCCTCACTTCGTTACCCCTTCGAATCAACTTTTCCAATGTCGGATAGAACGTTGGTTGATGTTACACTAATCTCTAGAAATAACCCATAAATCCATCCAATAAAACCATCAAAATCCATGTAAAAACAATTAAATAAAAATTATCACCACTTCGTCGTCGATAATGTTAAGGAGGGTAGTTTTACCGACATTATCGAGGCCAAGAAACAAGATATTGGCCTCTTTTTGCCAAAAAGCCGAGTGCTTGGTGGTGATTAAAATTAAAATTTTAATATATTTTAATAAAAATTAATGAATTGTGTGGTTGAAAAAATTGTGGGTCCTATAAAATATGTGGTTAAAATAATTGTTGACTTTGATCTGAATTAAAATTTGGGGACTATGTTGGTAATAATATTTCACATGGATCCTTCTCCTACACTACACCCATGAACGTGGTGTAGCCAATATGTTAATAATTTTAGATTCGAACCCGGATAACCCACCCAATAAAGTTTCGTTCTCACCGCTTGAGTTAAGCCATGATCTCAAATTTTTATTAAAGTTTTAGCTCATATAATTTGTGTATCATTTTTCAAATATTCTTTTTTCTAAAACTTATTTTCAACAATGCGTCTTACAATAAAATATTTTGCATGTAAACTTAAAATTTTCCCTATTTTTTAATTATGCATTCTCCAAAAAATCACTATTCCAAAATTTATTATTATTATTTTTTTTAAAAAAACCTCGTTTTAATGACATCAAACTAATTTTTTCATGATATGTCAATGACAAATGATTACGAACAATAATAAAAGCAAAAGAAGATGACAAAGAAAAAGCAATCATAAAGAATAAATTCTCATGGGCAGGCCCCCACATGTACATGTATTAAAAAAAAATTTGCGTCTGCCCCACCATGTGTGTTGTCTGTAAATCATCTCTGTAAAAAAAATTCTGTAATGCAAGCATGGTTCAATCATCAATCCACAACCCCCTCTCACTCCCAACTAGTCCAGCCACCACAACACATTCTTTCGTCATCCCTATAATATTTCTCACTCTGTTAATTCACAATTCTTCTACAAAAATAACTGCGTAATAAGTAAAGAATCTTGTTACATGTACATCAACATTTACATAATGCAATATGGTACTTTATCATTTGTCAGTTTAAAATACAATCAACTTTTTCATCCAATCTTTTTCTTCCGTATCATATTATGTAATCCATTATGTACATTTTTATATACAAGTAACAAAATCCAAAAGTAAAATACCTAAACGTACTCAGCTTTTACAATGGCAAGAATATGCATGAAAGATCAAATGCTATAAAAATTGAGAGCTCGAAAGATCTAAAGCTACATAATATTAGTGGATCGAGAACCAAAATAAACACTTTCCGCAGAGCTTGGAACCTCCAATGCCAATTTTTCGGTCGGACCTTGTCTAAGTACATCGAATATCTAGTTACTCCCAACATTATCAACATTACTACCTACAACATAATGCTACACGCCTAAAAAGGCACTTGAAGAACTGCTAAGTGTCCTAAAATTTAGAGCAATGTTATCCATCCCAAGTGGGGATGAAAACACGGTCTATATGGCATTAAATGATAGGTTAAATGAAAAGTGAAATTAAATGACTTATTTAATTTTACCTATCATTTAATGTCACGTAAACTGTGTTTTCATCTCCAGTGGGGATGAATAGCATTACTCTAAAATTTAATATGTCACCTGTCTTCCCATTACTTGATAATTTTGGAAATAGAAATGGCTAAAATCATTACTCGTCAAATAAATTAAGGCTAAAACCACAAAAGAATCTCCACATAGCTTCAACCACCGCACTAAATACTAAGACAATTCTTCCAATTTCTACCTTTCACATTTACACCATGGCTCTATAAATCTTGTATAAATATACGCAGGAACTCGAATGTGTTGAGTACCTAGTCAAGATTGCAAAAAATATGGCATCCCAGCTGAAGTTTAAAGTTCCATTTGTTAGTTTATTCCTTGTGTATTTGGTTGGGTGGGCAAATGCGGCCGGAGAATGTGGTCATACGCCGATAAATGCGGCGGCCACTAGCCTGAGCCCTTGCCTTGTTGCAGCTTCTAATGTTAGGGCAAAAGTGCCTCCATCATGTTGCACCAAAGTTATTGCATTGATAAAGAGTGCTCCTAAGTGCCTTTGCACCGTTCTCTTATCGCCTCTTGCGAAAAAGGCGGGTATCAAACCCGCTATAGCCATCACTGTTCCAAAGAGATGCAACATCAGGAATCGACCTGCTGGAAAGAAATGTGGCCGTAAGTATTCAATCTTACGTAGTTTAACGTATCAAATATAAGAATTTACCTTGTCACAATTGATTAAGGATTGTTGTTTCCACAACTGAGGGCAAGGGTTCAAGAATTGATACCCCTCTTCCCTCCACTCTCCCATCAAAAAACAGTACCAAATATGTCCTCAACATATTAAAATCTTTTCAGGTATATACAAATATTAAGTTAGTGATGAATCATTGTGGGACTAACTAATTGTACTATATGCATTGCAGGTTATACCGTCCCATAAATTTGAGGCCCAAATGGACTTGGGAGATGATAGTTTTATTGCAATTTGCAAACATCCAAAATTATGGTTTTCTATGCACGAGGATTCTCCGCTGTTATGTGACCTCAAATTAAATAAACTACATTTTCATGTTTTGCATTGTAATCATGTTTTACGATTACATATGATAACATTAAAAAGTATTATGAATTAGAGAGGAGAGAATAAAAATTTAAAATTGTTAAAGACTCATATTCATACGATAAAATTAGGTTCCAAAGATATATTTGTCACTCTTAAATAATATTAATTTCAAATCCAACATTAAATAACTAACTACACAATATCTGCCTTGTAAAAAAAAATATATTTGGCAAAAAAATAGTGGGACAAAAATACTAAGCAAAAATCCAACATTAAATAACTAACTACACATTATATTTAATGTTGGACAAAAATCCAACATTAAATAACTAACTACACAATATCTGCCTTGTAAAAAAAAATTTTATTTGGCAAAAAAATAGTGGGACAAAAATACTAAGCAAATGAATAAGTGGATACAATTAATTATAAAAATTTGGATTAATGAAATGATGCTTCGTTAAAACCTTATCAGAAAAACCAATATGACAAAACTTGAAAGGAAGGAAAAATATTACAACTACTTTCCATGATTTCAATCAATGAAAATTCTTGTATCGAGTCATTTATATCTTGTGAGTCAATGTTTTCAATAATACCATTTTCCAAAAACTTGTATTAGACAATACTGGTGATTTATGTTTTATGTTGCCTTGTTATAGCCCCAGGCAATACTATCTTCATACTTGATGTTCATCTATCATGGTTTGGCTTTAGTCAACATGAAAATCCGATGAAAACAAATATTGTAGCACTGTTAGAGTCTAGTATACAACTTGTAACATACGAAAGTAAAATCATAAAATTTGAGGATAATTGTCTGTAGATCATATTCACATTCTGTGACCTTCTGTCAAACAAGTTGTAAAAAAGAAAGCATTGCCAAAATTCTCTATGTACTCTTTCATTTGATATTTCTAAATTTAAGAAAGAGAAAAATTTCCGGGTGCATAGACATTTATTACACGAAACACGCCTCGTTAAAATTTATTAGAAAAAACCCTGGAGAAAATTCTAGTGAAGAAAGAAGAGTACATTATTTTTTTTATTTTCGCCATAGAAGTTACTCATTAAAACTTTAAGAGAATCAAATTATTTCACAAGGAAATTACAGCCTCATGGGTTTTTAAGATACAATTTTCATAAATCCAGAATCAACTTTAATAATACATAAATCAGCTTTCAATTAATGGTTTTAAAATTAATTTTTATTTAAATCAATCTTACACAATTTCAAACCCTAAGGGCATGTTCTCTTTGCTGTTTTCAAGTCATTTTCTGTTTTCGATTTTTCAAAATAGCGAAAACGCGTTCTCTTCCCTATTTTCGAAAACGTGTTTTGGAAAATTAAAAAAAAAATACACACAAAACTGAAAACGGCGGAAAGCTCGTTTTGATTGTTTT